TGATGGATAAAGAGGGGAGAGACAGGATGGTGGAGATTATTCTCTTGTAAGCAGCTTTGGTATCATCAGCACAGCGGAGCTCAATTAGTCCCATTCTCTAAGTAGCTCAAACAAAACTGCGTCTTTGCCCTTACTTCAGCTTGGAAGCCCTCAACCAAAATGGCTACAAGTAAGTTGAAGAGGACGTAGTTGCCAAAGGTCATGAGGGCGACAAAATAGAGGGCGGCCAGTGGCGAGGTGGACGCCATCCCGTTATAGAGCACTGAGTTCCAGTCTTCCTGGGTGAGGATCTGCAGGTGGGAAGGGATGTGGAGAGACAGGTTGTACTGTACAATTTAAAAGAAAATATACTGTATGCCTCATTAGTAGCTGTTCTAGACATTATAAAGAAGATGATAAAGAATAATAAGAGTGGATTCTTCCTTTATCATCTCGTCAGTAGAGCAGTAAAAATGCTCATCAGTGTTAAATGAGCTCATGTGGAGTGTGTGTTTCTTTGCTCCTCCTCTGCTTCTGAAGCATGTCTTCCCTGCCCACGGGGAGAGTTCTTACAACCCCACATCAGGAAAAGCTGGGAGTGGTATGTAAAATCTAAATTAAAACTGAAAACAGTGATTTGTAAATCATCTGTGTCCTGTAATACTGTAATATTATCCCAACTTTTCTGATTTGAGGTTGTACATTTTGTAGTAAAATTCAGTGTGAGCAAATTGGAGCAAATGAAATGACGAAGAAGACTGCCAATATCTTCCTCCAATTTATTTTAATATCCAATTTAACAGTAACTCATCAATTCCTCTGATTTAATTACTGCAGAAGTATTCGTCTGCTCGTATGTACAGTTTGCTTGTATTTGTGTTTGTCTAACCTGAAACACAGTGACAGTCGCCCAGAGCAGAGAGTCAAAGTTTTTTCTGTCAGGTAACGTGTCTCCACCGTCTTGTCGCAAACCAAACTTGCAGCCGAACAGATGCATCCCCAAAATACTGCAACACACACAAATAAGACCCAACGTTCATTACACAGCATGGACACTGTGTAATAATGTGCAATACTGCTGAATAATTGTGTTTCTGTTAAAACAAGTGCTAATGTGTCCTGTAACAGAGTAAAACCGAGGTCAGTAGTCGTGATTATGATTTTTGTAAGGAACAATCTTTATGAATAAAGCGGAAGCTGAGACAATATTTTGTCTCGTGAGTTTCAGCCTGCAGCATCGCCTTTAGAAAACAAAGGACTGCACTGTACCTGAATATGAATATAAACAGCATCAGCAACATGCAGAACGTGGCGACATTGTCCATGGTCTTCATCAGCACCACCAGCTGCCTCCTCAGGGCAGGAAGGAAACGGACCAGCTTCAAAACTCTCAAAAGACGAAAGGTGCGCAGGACAGACAAGCCTCCCTCGGCCTCCACCACAATCTCCCACACACTGCAACACGCACAGATGACAAAACACAAAGTTGTTAAGTTCACATCAAAGCAACAAAGGAATCAATATCTGCTTAACATGACTGTTTTTCAGAAGCCTTCCTTTCAGGGAGGGAAAGTGCTAAATTCTCTTTCTCGTGGCTTGTGGCAACTGAAAAGAGGAAATAGGCCAATGCTGTTTAACCTACCCACCAGTAAATAAGCTGAGAGCAGTGTGCACTGGCACAGTAGACAAGCAAAGCCTTTAAACACAGATACATAATTTAGCTTGTAGTACTACATTATGGAGTGAATAGAGGTTTGGGAGTTGTCACTGCAGTGCTGGCTCACAATGAGGATCTTTCGATGACAAAGAGGACACAGCCCCACCTGATAATGACAATGACGCTGTCGAGGCTGTTGTAAGGGTTCTTGATGTAGCCAAACAGGCCGAGAGCCAAGAGCTTCAGCAGCATCTCCAGACTGAAGAGACTTGTGAACACCATGTTACTGATCTCCAAAATGTCTGTCAGCTCCTGCGGCTGAGGACGCAGCGTGTTTGTGGAGAGAAAGAGGAAGAGATTGATGCACACAGACGTACAGGCACAGAGAGAAATGAACAAATAAACAGAGACAGGCAGACTGTCAGCGAAGAGCACTGTAAACTCAACATTAGGAATTTCTAAACTGCTAGTCAAGGATACAGTGAGTGGATCTATGTAGATAAAGTCTTAATGACTGAATGCACTTTAATTATTAATACTGTTGATAATACTTAAAACAATGTTTCTCAAACTGAGGGGCAAGCTTCTCCTGGGGCCTTACAGGCATTTCAGGAGGGACGCACAACTGGAAGGGGCTGATCTGATTCATGTGTAATAAGGTCTAGATTCATGTTATCATTATTTGTTCATTAAAGGAATACGTCATCATTTTGGGAAATGCACTCGTTGTGGTCTGGTAGAGATTTAGATTTGTTAAATATTTAAATTTGAACTGATGGCATGTTGTAAAAGTGACACTGGGGTCTCAGAGACCCCCTGCTGTAAATCATGGTTAAATACAATAGATTTATTTTATGCTGTCATTGGTGTTGACAGCACATTTTACACAGGACATTCCCTGCAAAACCCCAAATAGTACTATTTGGATTTCTCTTAGAATACTAATAGTGGTCTCATACTGTGTATTTTCAGTATTTGTTTGTGAATAACATTTCAACAAACAAAGGGAACATGCAGTATATTTGTTCATTTGTACCCTGCATACAAAAGATTAAATATTTTCATACTAGGTTATTTAACAATGACTCATTATCATTTTGACATTTGTTAACTTCATCAAATATGCATGTTTCATTGTGGGTAACATGGAGTTTAATATTATCAACCAATCTTAATAACAATTTGTCTGTTGTCTCTGTAACCAGTGTCAAAGAGAACTTATAGCTGCTGCTGAACAAATCCGTGGTATTAAAAACACATAAACGATCCACACTATGGCACCGGGTGACATTTCTTTATTACACTGAACACAAACACTGTGCTTTATTCCTCTCATTCCTAAACCAGCAAGCTTTGTAAACAAGAAACAGTTTCTCTGAGCATGCTCAGTGGCAAAGAGGTGCTCCCCAGAGAGCAAAACAAGTCTCTGAGGTGTTTCAAACTAAACTGCACTTGTCATATTTACTGAAATGAGGGAATGTCACCTAATGAAACTGCACGGCTCTTATTTGTATTGAATAGATTTTGGATGACAATACATTTCTATGGCACAGAGGAAAAAAGGGTAAATCAAGCCAGGGATCCACATTCATATGTTATTAAAAGCATTCTTATATCTTCATTGTTGGTTTTGGTCCCTTCAGGGGGTTTGTTAATACTAAAAAGGCAAAAGTAGGCTCGGCCTTATCCCTTAACATTAGTCATTCAAGGAGTTAAGTCCATCCAGATCTATCATCGCGTTCAGGAAATGGGCCAAATGAAATCTTTCATCATCTCCCGCAGTCTGTCTCAGCCTTTCAGCCAATCACAGCATCAGATCCGTCCTCCTCCTCTTCCTCACTGCTCCATTCGCTCTCACTCACTCACTCATCTCACTCTGCCTCATGTCTACGTTGCTCACTCTCTCTTCTGACCCAGGGGTCACGTTTTAATTAACACTTCAGGTCTTATGAGTTTCTCCATCTACTGATACACACGTGTACACACCCACACACACATTCACATAAACACAAACACATACGCACGCTCTTCGTAATCCCATATGCTCGGCGCTGTAAGTGTTGATTGGAGAGTAAGTTTACTGACTGCATCACACAGAGTGATTAGCACATCCATTCTCAATCAAACTGTAGTGACATTCAATCTGCAAGAGCCCCGCACATGGCCGTGCACGAGCGCACACAAACATGCAGCCCCTGACGCTAACAAGCACATAAACATACCTGTTCATGGTACTCTATGCCCATTGACAGCGTGTTAATAAGGATGGCAATCATGATTCCTCTGCTGAAGTATCTGCTCCCAACAATGAGCTCCAGTTTCGCTCGGAGTCCCGCCCAGCAGCCCTCCAGCAGCCTTGTCTTTGGCTCAGACACCTTTGTTTCACTGTGGCACGGGCTGCTACAGTGGCACGGGCTGTTACTATGACACGGGCTATTGCCATGGCATGAGCTGCTGTACCCAAGTTGCCGATCCTCAGGTTCCTCATTGACAATTTCGCTGTCGCTAAGCTGGTGGCAACAGGTGCGATATGGGCATACCGAGGACTCTCCTGGCACTTCACCTGGTAGCAGTAGCGCAGGATGCCCAGTGCACAAACCTGCACAAACACGGGAAGGAGGTGATATAGACATGGGTCTTTAAAAATCATACATATACACGAGCATAGTAGATACTTCATTCTGTATGTTGCAGTTCTTTTATTAGAACAGGGTTGTGTGTGTGTGTTGGGGGAAAAGGGGGAATGAGTGCAGAGTGAAGCGAGAGTAAGATATCAGCGGAGTTCATTAAGAAGCAGCTCAGGAGAAATCCTCCAATGACATAACAACAAAACACCAATCGAGCACGAGCACTTCACTTGTCATCACAATTACAACAAGTTCATGTTCCACTAGAGACTGATATAGTAAATCCAATCTAGTCATTCTGTGGAAACTGTCTATAGATAATAAGCTGCAAAGGAAACTTACAGCAGGCGGGTTTGCTGAAAACAACTTTCTACTACACACAGAAAATACACATCTGAAGCTGCTTGCTGAATCATTTCTACTCAGCTTTTTGTGTGTATGGAAAGTGTCCCGGCTACAATTAGAATTAATTTACTGACTTGTATTAAAATTTGATATGCATGTTTGATATTTTTCTCTGTTACTTAACCTCTTTTACACATCAAATCCAGTTTAGTCATCATGGGGAGCATTACTCAGTTCGTAAAACCAGATGGATTATGTCTCCTCGACTGGAGGAGCTTTGTTAAGTGTCATCACTTGCTTGACATCAATTACTTAGTCTTGATTAATGAGTCTGATTTGAGCATTATGCTCAAATGTTTCTCTTTAACCTGTGGAGTTGAGGTATGACAGCTTTTGCCTGATCTTTTTCCACAGTCTCATTGTTTACCGAGTATGAAACTACTGTAAATATGCTTCAGTTAGTTTCTTTTTATCTCCTAACCTCTACCTTTTTAGTCCACAGATGCTGCTGGAGTAGAGTGTGAACTCATGTGAGTGTGAATACACAGATGTAGTACGTCACCTTGTGGTTAATTACCTGAATGTATGAATACACCACAAAGTTGTGAGAAAGCTAAATGTAAAAGATTGTGCAGACGTGTGGAATCTCTTCTTGTTTATAATTTTTTTGAGCGCCCAAAAAAATAAAATAAATAAAATGAATCTCCACTGTGTTAGAGGTGGTAAAATCTTACCAGTTTCATCAAATAAACCCAGTGATCTGCAAGTCTAAATACTGCTGAAGATGAGTGGGGAATTATGTTTATTTGCTATTTGGGTGAATTGAAACAAAGCAAAATTACCTAAAAGACTCTAGAAGCTGTAAGAAACACTGCTAGAACACAGGGGCACAGTGCTGGTCTTCGCCCAGGCCTCCAAATGTGTCCCAAGTCACAAAGCTGTGACCTACACAGCACTCACACTCACCACGTTCTAGCACCAGCTGTGGCGGTCTGTTGACTATCTCTGTAGCAACAAGCCTCTTCTGGTCTCGGCCCTTTGCATCCAGGTGCCTGAAGAGGGGCGATATGAAGGGATAATTAAAACAGTTCCCTCCGTTGCTGAGAGCAGGCTCAGGCTGAGGCTGAGGATGCTGGTGATGTTGCTGGTGATGTTGAAAATAAAGCTGATGAAGGTGGGACAGGTCATTGGGGGCATGGCCTGAGTGCCGGTGGGCAAGTCCATTCATCTCCCCAGCTCCGCCCCCTCGGGCAGATCCACTGCATCTGTCTCTCTGGCACACGCACACACAGTGAAAGTGTGTCCGTGACTGAGCATAGAAGCGGGACAGTCGGCGCCACGCCTTGCGGCCCAGGTGCGCCACGTAGCGGATGATCTCCTCATAACAGCTTCCTGGTTGGCTGTCGCTGGCCAGCGTGGAAGCTGATTGGTGCAGCTGACGGGCGCGCTGCTCAGATTTCATTAAGGCATGTTCTCTCTGCTTCGTTTCAGAAAACTGGGTTGCTATGACGACCAGGCACAGATTGATCATGAAGAAGGAGCCCACCTGCTCGTGACAACACACGTTACTTCCTGTTACAGTTTTAACATTTTATGTTCGAATGTTTGTGTACTTGTACTGCTACACGTTGTGAGGACCAGTTCGAATTTTATACGTTGAGAGGGAGGACGTTTCGGACAGCCCTCACTTTCTCGCACCTTTAAAGGTGTTTGAATGTTAAAACTTGGATTCGAATCAGACTCAGGTTAGAGGAAGGGCTGGGGGGAGGCATTTAGATATATAATAGATAAGACTGGAGTTAGGATCTGAATTATGTCGATGAGCGTCCTCACAAAGATAGCTGTACAAAGGTGTGCATGTTTGTGTGCATGTGTGAATACATACTATAATGAGGAAGATGAAGTAGATGAAATTGTAGAAGGAATGTGCGTCCATGACATAGTACATGATGTCTACCCAACCTTCTAGAGTAATTACCTGAATGAAAACAAACACACCAACCAACACTAATAACAGTAACTGTGATGTGTAGTGAGAACATCATTCATCATTTAGAAACATATCCCTCGTAACTCCTGTGAACATTTACCTGAAAAATGGCAATCCATGCATATCCAATGTTATCAAAGTTAATAGCTCCTTTGTGTGGGTTTATTTCCCCGGCCCGACACTCATTGTAATACTGATACCAGTTCACACATGACAGTGATCCATCTACTCTAAGTCCCATCTCTGGAAGGGCCTCCTCAGCACTCA